ACAGGCACGCGCCACTATGCCCAGCTAATTTTTTGTATTTTTAGTAGAGACGGGGTTTCACCATTTTGACCAGGATGGTCTCGATCTCTTGACCTCGTGATCCACTCGCCTCGGCCTCCCAAAGTGCTGGGATTACAGGCGTGAGCCACCGCTCCCAGCAGAGCAACAGTTTTTAATTTAGTTGATGTTCAATTTATCAATTTTTCCTTATATAAATCTTGATTTTTGTGTCAAGTCTAAGAACTCTGCCTAGCCCTAGGTCCTAAATACTTTATCTTGTTTTGAACATTTTATAGTTTTTTCACTTTATATTTAAGCTAATTTTTAAATCAGGTATCAGACTTAGGTTGAGATTTGTTTTTTTTCTTATGGATGTCCAATTAGTCCAGCATTTTCGTTGAAAAGACATTTCCTCCATTGAATTTCTTTTGCCCCTTTGTCAGAAATCATTTGGACATGTTTATGTGGGTCTATTTCTGGGTTTGCTTTCAAATCCATTGATCTATATATCCTTTCACCAACACTACACTGTCTTGATTCCTATATCTATATAATAGATCTTGAAATCCAGTAGAGTGATTCTTCTCATTTTATTCTTTCAAAATTATTTTAGACATTCTAATTACTTTGTCTTTCCATATAAATTTCAGAAAAATCTTGTCTATATGTATAAAAAATCTTGCCATAATTTCAATAAGAATTATGTCAAAGCAGTGTATTACTTTGGGGAGAATTGGTATCTTTATTGTGTTGAGTCTACTAATCTATGGACATAGTATGACTTTCCATTTATTTAGATTTTTTATTTCTTTCATCAGTGTTTTGCTGTTTTCAGCATAAAAGTTCTATACATATTTTATTAGATTTGCACGTAAGTATTTCTTTTTTTAGCAATTTTAAATGGTATCGTGTTTTTAATACTGGTGTCTCTCTGTTCACATTCACTGCTGCTAGTATAGAAATACAATTGATTTTTGTATTTATATCTAGTATCCTGTGACCTTTCTGAACTGTCTCAGTTCTAAGAATTTTTTTTTAGTAGATTTCTTGATATTTTATGTGTAGACAGTCATTTCATTTGGAAGCAGGGACAGTTTTATTTCTAATCTGTATGCATCTTATTTTCTTTTCTTACTGGACTAGCTAGAACTTCCAGTACTATATTGAAATAGAGTGGAAAGAACTAGCATCCACTCTTTGTTTCTTATCTTAGAGGGATAGCATTCAGTGTTTAAATGATATAACTGTTTCCAGCCTTTAACTCAACCTACCTATACTTTTATATTTGAAGTTAGTGTCTTCATAACTTCACTAGACAACATACAATTTTGTTTTTAAATCCACACTGCCCATTTCTATCATTCATTGGTGTATTTAGACCATGTATATTTATGTACTTATTTATATTTAGGGCTTACATCTGTGTTCTATATTTTGTTTTATTTTGTTCTATTTTTTAGATTTCTGTTTCCTTCTGCTTTACTAAGGAATTTTTCAATGAGTTCATATGGAAGTATTCTTTGAGGGATACTTTTAAATATAAATTTAAAATTTTGAGTGTTACAGTGCTATACAAATGTTCTATTTCTTCTTGAGTCAGTTTTTATAATTTGTGTCTTTGAAGGAATTTGTGCGTTTTATCTAAGTTGTCAATTTTATTGGCATAAAGTGGTTTATATTATTCTCTTATTTTTATTTTAATTTCTGTAGTAACTGTTTTAATGTCCTCTGTTTTATTGTTAATTTTTATATTCTCTCTTTTTCTTGATCATTCCAGCTAGTGATTTACCCACATTATCAATCTTTTCAAAGAACTAGCTTTTGGGCATAGATTTTAAAATATTGTTTGGTCTACTTTCTCTGTCATTTTACTATTATTTTTATAATTTCTTACCTTCTAGTTAACTTAGGTTTAATTAGCTTTTACTTTCTTGCTTCTTAATGTGTAAACCTGTGTATAAGCTTTGATTCTATGTCCTTCTTTTTTTCTAATATAAGCATTTAAGGTATATATTTCCTCCTAAGCATTAAGTTAGCTGCATTACACATTTTCATATGGTAGATACTTATTATCACTTAGTCCAAAGTATTTCTAATATCCTTGTGATTATTTCCTTGACTTACAGCTTAGTTTCCAAAGATTTGTGGTTTCAAACATATTTCCCTGTTAGATTTCTAATTTAGTTGTTTGTGATCATAGAAAATGGTCTGTATAAGTTTTTTTGTTTTGTTTTGTTTTGTTTTTGAGACGGAGTTTCGCTCTTGTTACCCAGGCTGGAGTGCAATGGCGCGATCTCCGCTTACCGCAACCTCCACCTCCTGGGTTCAGGCAATTTTCCTGCCTCAGCCTCCTGAGTAGCTGGGACTACAGGCATGCACCACTATGCCCAGCTCATTTTTTTTATTTTTAGTAGAGACAGGGTTTCACCATGTTGACCAGGTGCTGGGATTACAGGCGTGAGCCACCACGCCCGGCAAGTTTTTAAAGATGTATTGAGAACTGTGTTATGGCCCTGCACATACGTCTGTCTACATAAAAGTTCAATGTGTGCTCAAAAAGGGTATGCTTTCTTGAGTTGCTTGGTGTAGTGTTCTATAAATGTCAATTTGGAAAAGATGTTTGATAATGTTTTTCATATCTTCTATGTTTCTCTCTCTCTTTGAAGGCATGAGTTTTTAAGGGTTATTCTTGAATGTCCCCTGTATTCAACAAGCTCTCTCCAATCGGTGGGAACATGAGTGGTTCCTAGCTATGTGTAAACTATGAGAATTATTTGTTCTACAGTTTCCCAGTAATTGTACTTTTCCTGGAAGTTCTTTGCCCAGCTTCATGGTGGTTCACGTTGCACATGTACAGATTAATACTCAGCCCAAAAGTTAAGGCCCTATGTAGATTTCCAGAGGTGTTTCTTTGTGTACCCCTGATATTCTTTTCCACAAATTCTTAGTACCAAATTTGGCCTCCCTGTACTCTAATCTCTGCCTCCTCAGTGAGTGAGCTCACTGGGCTGTATTTGGGATCCTGATCCTACTCTGTAGGTTGGTAATTTCCTCTGTGCAGCAGCCAGGAGATAATAAGGATCACATCTTTTTACTTTTCTAAAGAATTACAGTTTTACGCTGTTTATGTTCAATGTCTGAACATAGTTGTTTCACATATTTTTTGTTCAGTTTTCTGATTGTTTATATTATATGAGGATAATAATGGCCCCTGTTCCTCTCACATGGCCAGAAGCAAAAGTAGCTCTTCTCTTCCCTTCCTTTTTGTTTCTTTCATTTCCTTTCTCCCTTTCTCCTTTCCTTTAAAAGTATTAATCCTTCTTTTAGTGCAGTTTTACACAAATAAATGCTCGTCATTTAATATAATAGATGATGGGTTTCCTCTGGAATTTTGCATGTCCGTTTCCTTAAAAGAACTTTCTATTAAAGGAAAGGGCTGACTGACTGCTATGTGCACATACTCATGTTGTCTAGTAGACTTAACTTTAAAAACTTAGACAGGTATGTTGGGATCTCCCAGTTAAGGGCCTTTTATTAGTACCAAGGTATCTAAGGGTATGAGTTGGTAGCCCATACCCTTAGATACCTTAGTACTTCCCAAGCAAGGAGTTCAGTTTCTGTAGAGAGTAGTTCTTTAATTTTAGTCTGGATATACAGATTGCCACTGTTTTGTGTGTGCAGGTGGGAAAGTTTGGGAGGGCCCAACTGGTTTAAGCATTATTTTCAATCCTTTATTTTACCAAATATATTTAGCATTCCATTCCACTCCCTATACCTGCTCTCTTTGTGCTTGGAGCATTCTAGGAACTTCACCAAGAAGATAATATTCAGTGCTTTTTGTTGCTTTATCTTGTGGGTATTCAGGGCTATAGTTTGATCTGGTTTATTCATTAATATAATTTGATCTTCTGTCTTCCAGAACTGGCTCAGTGTCACTGATTTGCTCATGGCTTTCTATTCCATTCTTAGCTTTCCTGATAATTTACAACTTTTTGTACATCTGTACTGTCATTTTCAGGGAATTTGGGGACAGAGGGAGAGGCAAATATGTATGTTCATGCTATCATCTTAAACTAGATACCTTTTCTGAAAATTTACAGCAAGCATATGCAATAAAAAAAGTTCAATTGACTTTTCAGTCATTAAAAACCCACCTAATTTACAAGGCTTAATTTATATCAAGAGAATAAATAACAATGTTCGCACGAATTACATAGAAGTGAACCAAAGCCTAACAGTAATTCAGATTATTTCAGTACAATCTAGTGATTGGTTCCTATTTATATAATTGAATATTATTTTGCTTGGGATACTTTAAAAGTAGTAATTGAATTTTAAAAACTGCTTGGGCTCTGTGACAAAAGTAGCATTGTAGATTTGAAATTATACTTTTGTTTCATGATTAAATTTGAATATATGCCTAAAGTAGACAAATTAGAGTTTATTGTCATATTTGTGTCTGGGTTGTCTATTTTTCTAATAGATACAAGAGTAAACCTGATGATGACTTTGAAGATCCCAAAGATCTTCAAGCTATCAAAGAAGCCCAGGTGTATATGGGAGATTTCAATCTGAAGACAGCCTCAGACTACAAGATACCTGAGCACATGAGAATAAATGCTGCCAAGAAGGAAGAGGAACTAGGACACCTAGATTCTTTGGTACTTATCTACATATTTTATGACAATGGAGAATGCACCCTGGGTTTTTAATTAAATTCTGCTAAAACCATTCATTTCCTTCTCTGGTCAATAAGAATATATAACCATAGAAATTAAGAACTGGAAAAGACTATCATGATTATCTAGAATGTCCTCTTTTTACAAGTGAGGAAACTGAGGCCCAGAGAGGACAAGAGATTTGTCCATGGTTAGTCAGCTAATATGAAAGAACCAGCTGTGAATATTTACAGTGTATCCGAGGGTTACAGATGGGTACTACCTGACAGGTATGGCAGGGTCATCAAGGATATCTGGGAATCTAGGTCAGAGTTTGATGAATGTATCTATTTCCTGTTTGCAGTGTCTTATTAGAAGTATTAATACATCTTTGTTGAGTTAGCATTTCTTAGAAGACTCTGTCTTTGAGCTTTTCTTAAAATACCATGTTTCAATACCAGTTTCATGTGTAAGCATTATTTTGTGGACTTTGAACCTCTGAAATTCAGACAAATCCTCATTGGGTTTAGTTTTTGGTTGCCATGGACAACCAAGGACTTAGATTGAAAAGGCCATTGTTCAATCATTAAAAATCTGGAGACCAACAGATGCTGGAGAGGATGTGGAGAAATAGGAACACTGTCACACTGTTGGTGGGAGTGCAAATTAGTGCAACCACTGTGGAAGACAGTGTGGAGATTCCTCAAGGACCTAGAAATAGAAATTCCATTTGACCCAGCAATCCCATTACTGGGTATATACCCAAAGAATTATAAATTGTTCTATTATAAAGACACATGCACGTGTATGTTCTTTGTGGCACTTACAATAGCAAAGACCTGGAACCAACCCAAATGCCCATCAACGATAGACTGGATAAAGAAAATGTGACACATATACACCATGGAATACTATACAGCTATAAAAAAACGATGAGTTTGTGTCCTTCATAGGGACATGGATGAATCTGGAAACCATCATTCTCAGTAAACTGACACAAGAACAGAAAACAAAACACCGCATGTTATCACTCATAGGCGGGTGTTGAACAATTAGAACACATGGACACAGGGAAGGGAGCATCATACACTGTGGTCAGTTGCCGGGGGCTAAGGGAGGGACAACAGGGTGTAGGGAGGGATAACGAGGGGAGAATACCAGATATAGGTGATGGGGGAATGAAGGCAGCAAACCACCTTGCCGTATATATACCTATGCAACAATCCTGCATGATCTGCACATGTACCCCAGAACCTAAAGTACAATTAAAAAAAAAAAAAAGAGAAAGGGTCATTGTTGAGCCTTTTTTTGTAGGACTTTGAAACTGTTCTAGGCAACTCAGTGCTAATTTATTTCTTTGTTATTTTCTCTGCATTCCTCCAAACCATTTTCTATCATACTGATGTCTGATCCCCATTTTCTTATGAAAGTTCCTCTTCCTGCTGTATTAATTCCTTAATCACCATTTGAACTGACAAGTGACTTTTTATGCTTAAAATCTTAGAGGTTATCTGAGCTACTACTTTTAGGAGAACTAGATACACAGTAACCTAATACGGTTGTGGAGGTTGCACATTTCAAGGCCTCACATTGGAGAGGGTGCCGATCATATCACAGATATATTAATAGTATTTTTGAATATTTTTATAATTTCCTGACAAATGCAGATGAAGTGTCCCGAGGAAGGGGTGTCTTCTTCTGTTTCACCAAAGAGTTACATCCCAGCAGCACAAGGGTCCTGGCCTGCCAATTCATATCCACAAATACATTTTCATAGCTCATAACTATGTGTTTCTCATCCAAATGGACAATTTGGACATTTTAGTAATGACCATTTGGATTGTTTTCCTAGTTTTTCTTCCAAGGTAATTTTTATTTGTTTATCATGTTACATCAATCATCATACAGAAATGTTCTTAAGACAACAATTTATCCAACCTGAAATTTCATGCTGTAGCTAGAAGAGGTGGGCAGGTATGATGTTTTCAACTTAACTACATTACACTGAAATTTGCTTTGTTAAAATAAAATCATTTAGAACACCTTGTTCTACAAGTCAGAAGACTGGAGTTCTGTTTCCATCTCTGCCACTTAATAGCCATATGAACTTTGCTAAGTCATATAAACCTCCCTAAACCATTTATTTCATCTGCAGAAAGAGTATTAATACTATGTCTAGTACACATAGGGTTAATTTAATGGTCAAAATCCATAAATGGTCTTTATTGTTATGGTCAAATTGAAAATCATTGAAAAGTATTAAATATTTTTTAAATAGTGTATTATCTGTCTTTTTTTTCAGCCAGTGTTTAGGTTTGTGTGGTATGTGAAAAACTAGAAAGAGCTGATGTGTAAAGAGCTTCCTTAAAGAGATAGGCCTTATAGCCATCTGTGATGTGGGTTTGTTCTTGTTGGGCTGATCTGCAATCCTTCAGATACTTCAGAGGTAGTTGTCCATTTACCCAACTGCTGGCTTTTGAGTTTAAACCTTAGTGCTTTAAAGGTTTATTTTCAAGTATGTAGAACATTCCCTCTATGTTATTACAGTTTTCTGCTTTGCAGAAAGTAAATACATATGCAGCTTTTGTAAGACTACTTGAAAGAGTGACTTTTGATCTTTAAAAAACTGCACATGCAAAGTAACTCTTAATGGCCTTTGGACAATCTAGTAGCCTAACTGCGCGCAGGAGGTAGGGTTGCGAGTGCTCTCAGGCTCTGGGAATGGCATTTAGAAAACACAGACCAGGGAGAGAGCTGGTAATGAAAGAGCAATGAGAGTGTATAGCACTTGTGCCTGAAAGCAGAGGCCCAGCTTGACTTACATAAATGGAGAAGAAATGAAGGAAAGATCCCGCAGTCTCTTGGTGTGACATGCTACTGAGATTCAGAATCATGGCCTTGCCTATACAAGGAGTAACAATAATCATGTGGCCAAAATGCAGAATGAAAATAGGCTAAGCTGTAGTTTGGGCCTAGGTAGGCAGCCCTAAGTGGGTCTAAGCCAAAGGGATTCAAAGTTCCAGCAGGGAAATGCATTAAGGGCCTTCCCCTTCCTCCCTGGAGAGAGTATCCAGCTAGACTAAGGCTCCAGGAAAGATTTCCATGTAGTGATGAAGGAAGTTCTGGTAAGGGAACTCAGCCACATGAGCCAGCTGGACGGAATAAATTGTGGGAAGCCAAGAGATACCAGAGGTCACATCTGTACTGTCCTTCCATCTTGGAGGGGCTAAATGGAAAAAAGCCTAAATATTAAAGAAAAGGGCAACTTGGTGGTAAAAAGGTATGATCAGATGAATTTTTATCTTGAATTTTTGCTAGGTCTATAGGCAAGGAAAAAGAGCAGATCATATTCCATGCAATTATTTGTCAGAGGGTTGTACCTTTGTTTCCTTTCTCTTCTTTTTTTTCAGGTCCATGGAAAGAAAAGGCATATGAACAAGTGCATCCTCTCTCTTAGAGACCTTAAAGTGGCTGTTGTAGAGGAAATACAGTGCCTGGTACAAGAACTGAAGAACATTCAGTCGACTCTTCATGTATCCAAGCACATACCCATTCCCAAAATTCCTCAGATACACCCAGAAGAAGTCCCAGAAAAGAGATTTCAATATGACGAAGAAACTCTCCTAAATTTTGAGCAACAGCGTATGAAAAGTATAGATGCAAAGTCCCCCCAAGTGGAACAGACAGGGTCTGGAGGCCCAGGTGGAGGATTCCTCAAGCTCTCTTCTGGAAAGAATGGGGATTTGACAACCCGAGATTCAATATCTAGGTCATCAAGGGCATCTACATTCAGCCTAGATATACCAAAGTTTATGGAATTTGAAAAGGCAGAGCCAACGGATGTGGAGGTGGAAATTATGAAGAGGGATGAGATTAAACATGTGTACATGCAACAGTATTTGGTCAACAGGGTAAGGGGTGTTCCTAATTATAGCTGAAAGAGAGAAGATAAGGGGAAAAATTGGGTCTGGTTTTTTTTGTTTATTTATTTTAAATTTCTCTACATGAACCTTTCCCAAACCCTGACCAGCTCACCACTCAGTGATGGCTTGGCTTCTTCCCCATCCTTGGCCTTCTGGAAATCATTGTGCTCTTCCCAGAACTACAGAGCTTTCAAACTTTTTTGTTTTGTTTTGGAAAGCTGACCAAGAGTTAAGGGCAAGCCCATGTTTTAGTTACTTGGCATCTAACTGAAGTCATCATAAAGGGGAAGTGGAGGAGCAGCTTTTAGATGATGGATGGAACATACTTAAAAATTTTCCAGGGAAACAGGGCACCCTCTGCTTTTCACACCATCCTTTGTCTCTAATATGTGGTTTGTTCCATTAGTAGAAGTGTTTATGGTGATTACTGGGGTTGAGATTGTTCTAGAGCTGGAATGGCAACTATTTTTATTTCTAGGAAAATCAGGAGTAGACTAGGGCCTGTTGGACGGGATGTTCTTTGATTGTGAAAGAACCTTTCTTGGATAGAGAACTCTCTGCTGCCACCATGTGGAGTCCCCTTCCTCAGTGGGTCTTTCCAGCCCTACCCTGCAATGACACCATCAATAGCTTGCCAGATATCTTCTTCACCATTATCTCTTCTTTGTCCAGTCCTGTTTTCTCACCATTCTTGCCTCTCTCCACTTCACCTTTTCCTCCCACACCTTTCTGAGTTTTCTATCTGTGCTTTTTCCTTTGCTATTTCCTTCTACCTGCAATGACTTCCAGAGCTGAGTTATCATTCAAAGCATGGCCCTGCTCCAAACCTCCTCCAGGATGTTCCACCCACATTACATATACCCTCTTTCTTTCCAAACTCCAGTTTCACCTGTAATAAGCATCTCATATTTTACACTAATTTTCTTTGCTGCTTCATGGGTATTAGTTTTATCTTGAAAATTAAATTATGCAATCCTTTAAGTAACAGGCCACATAGACTTCTTCTGATTCCTCCACATTGTCTAGGACAATGTCAAACATATCATAGATATTCAGTCAAAGATTTTGATTGATTTAATTGTAACTAATTTATCAATTTAACAAATATTTATTGGGTGTTCTATGTGCAGCGAGAGTGAGAGATAGGATTAGGGATACAACAATACTTAAAGACATGTTCTCAATCCTCACAAAGCTCATGGGCTATTGGGGTTAGAGAGAAAAAGCAAGTGTAATCCTTACAGACTTGGAGACCTATTCGGTTTAGTTTAAGAATGGTGTTGCACTGAAGGAAATATAGGCCTGCCTCTAAATAAATTCAGGAATAATTCAAGTTTGTTAAACAAGCTTTAAAGGGGAGCCCAAACATATAGTCTATAGCCATAGTTACATAAAAGTTTAGTTTTTCCTTCTGTCTCTGCGTTTTTCTCTTCAGCTCTTTCAATTTCTCTAGTAGTTTCACTCCTCCAAACCCACAGATCTCTTTCTCCCCTCAGCCCCAGTCTGAGGCCTCACTTACTATAGGCTTTTGACAGTTGAGGCCACCTATCACATACAAACTAGTGAAAAATACAGAATGAAACCATTCTTTTCCTATTGTTCTAGTTTCCTCAGGAGAATCAGTCCTTGGGGCTCTCTCTTGGCCTCTTCATCTCCTTTGTAATGCTGCAGGGGAATATCTGTACCAAAATCAGAACAAAACTGAGGACTAAAAATTAGTAGGACCATAATGAAATAAGGTCTGGAACAGGACTTGGGATTCTTAAGTTCTTATCAGGAAAACTACCTTTGACCTTAATTACTACAATCTTATAAAAAGATTGAACAGGTTTTTTTGTGGCTCCATGATTATTTTATCTATTTAAAAATATTTACCATTCTGTAGGTTTGAAAATTTTCAACACAAGTTGAGAAACGTATTTATTTGTGTTTACCATATAAAAGGGAATGCAGATACTGTGGAGAATGAAGAGGAGACAGAAACACTACCCATTCAGACAGCTCATAAGCTACACAGTACAGCAAGAAGGGCATTCTTGATTGATGGCTTAGTCAGTGGTCAAGAAATAGCTGGAAGGACTATAGTTACAGAATTCCTACCACTTAAGTTATGTAAATTTAATGTTATTAATGAATTTATTTCTGCGACTACATACACACACACTCCTCCATCCACGAGAGGACATAACAAAAATGATTTCACTTTAGCACTATTAGTTTAAAAATGCATTTATCGAAGTCTTCTAATATATCCTCAAATCTTTTTTCCATCTCAGATCAAAGAACTGATTGTCACTTTTGATGCAGAACTCCGTCTTCTTAGACATCAGAAACTGAAACTAGATACTCAGATGAAATTATCTGACCTGCACCACGTCACCTTATTTCAAGAAATGCTTCTCCTGAAGAATTTTGAAAAGCAAGAGAACATACTTCAAGAGCGTGTTAATTCCTTAGAAAAAGAGGAACAGTACATGCAAGTATGAGTGGGAAGAAGAAATTTAGCTGGCTACTCCCTCGGTTATGGAAAAACTTGATTTCTTTTTCTTCTTAACTCAATTTCCCCCTTTTTCTAGCCCTCATCTCTTTCTTGTCTTCTTTCCCCTCCTTCTCTTTCCTGTTATTCCTACCTACTCTCCATCTTTGGTATTCATGGTCAAAAAGAAATGATTCAGATTTTTTAGTGAATTGGGTCTGTAAGATACTCTGTAAGATAGAGTAAAATTTTCAAAAGTGAGCCTTTGATTGTGCCACTTTACTCCAGCCTGGTGGGCTGGGCTCCCTAAAAAAAAAAAAA